CCCCTGCATTCTAAACTGACGCAAATAATCAGGAAAAACAGGTTATAAGTCAGGAAACTTAAACAAAGTGGCTCAAATTCATGATTCTCTTCAAAGGTCAGAATTATATGCTATTCTTATGGTATTATTAGATTTTTCCAGAACACCTTAATTTAGTTACTGATCCAAAATATTCAGAAAGAATTGTTTTTCATATTGAAACTACTGAACTTTTTCCAGATGATTCAAAATTAATTTTATTTACTCAATTATAAAAAATAACCAGAAATAGAAATCTTCCCTTGTATACAATACATGTCATATCCCATATAGATTTACCAGGCCCTCTAACATGAGATAATGATGAAATTGATCAGCTACTGATAGGAAATGTGCTGGAAGCCTCAGAATTTCATAAGAAACACCACATTAATAATAAATCTTTGAAGAAAGATTTTTCTATTACATGGTGGTGTATTAGAAATGTTTATCATTGTTTTGGAGAGTTGGTTGCAAGTTGTTACTGGTCATTGTCAGAAAAAACTAAGCAAAAAGATTAGATTCAGGCATCTCTTTCTGTAAAGAAAAAGGGGAGGATATAGGAATGATAGGGAAAATGGTAGATTATTGAATCTACATTTAAACTAAAATAGCTACTAGTCTCAAATATTTTACACTGGTATGAATTTTTGTATATTGATATAAATTTAAAGATTTTGTTCGAACATACTCTATATTTCTACTCTTATTTAAGACAGTTTGTATATTGATACAAATTAAATGTTATTTTTGTTATACTGTATATATTTAGATAAATGGACCCCTTAAAGTCTGTCATCTGACACAACAGCTGGAGCCTCAAAATAGTTGCTTTCAATGAAACTCATGACTCCCCTTTTGTAGTCATCTCTATACACTTTCTAATTTTGTCTCAGAGAAATAAACCTAAAAGTCTAATAATGCCTTGACAAGTTGAATAATTTTTAATTGAACAAGATTGCCAGAATCTCAAAAATAAGATATTTCTGACTTTTTAATGCTTTCATTCCTCCAATTCCCACTTCCTCTTGACCCCCACGTGGGTCACAGTAAGTACAACTCTTTTTTCCAAAGCAGGCTATAAAACCTTGGAAGAAACTCACTCTAGAAAATACTCTCTCTTTTCTCCCTTCTTCCCAGAAAGTCCTCATTCCACAGATGTCCTGCTCTATATCCAGGGAAGAGGAACACCACACAGAGACACAGAAAAATAATCCAAGCAAATAGGCCTTACTGAAGTGTTCCTATAATCTCATGGCTGAATCCCCAGATTTTAAAGGAAAGCTAAGGATATAGGTAGAGTTCAATAAATATTTACACTATTAAGAAAGATTTCATTTCTACTAAAAGTTTAATTTTCTTTTCCAAAACCAAATAATAATAGATTTTAAAAAGAGAAGAAAAATTTCCACAATAAAGAGAAAACTGATTGTTTTCATGCTTAGTTCTTTATTTACATGATTTGTTTAATGGTAATAACCTTGTGAAGCAATGTTTGAAATTATATTCAACTCCTGTAGTTCTCTCGTTCTGTGCTGTTCAAAGCGAGGCAAACTTGATATGGACACTATGTACACACACACAGCTAAGTTCAGCCTTCAGATATCTGACTCTGCAAGCTAGGCTGGGACTGGAAACTGTTGGTCCATGAGCCATATTTTTATAACAAAGTTCTAAACCATCCTGAAAAGTGGTTTGGATGACCACATTCTGTAAATGAGCACACCTTTTTTTTTTTCCTTTGCAGTGTTAGAGATTGAATCTATTCTCTCCCACATAATAATTAAGCCTCTATTCTTGACCAACAACCTTAACCTCACATAAAAATCATGAGTATTATAATATCTTGACCAATGTAAAAGACCTGATGTACAAAAGCAAAGTTATACCATTGGGGTACAGTTTCTCTGTATCTGCTCTTGCATCATGGGCCGCCATACCCACTAGTCAGAATAGAGGCTTTGTCACAAAACACTCTTTTTATGCATCACAGAATTTTTCTTAGGAAAGATGACAACAAGACAGGGTTTTGAAAAGCTTTATTATACAAACATTATTATAACAGAGTTAACTGGATTTTTAAAACAAATTAAATTTTTCCCAATAGTGACAGTTTATCAGAGGTTTCACTTTTAGCACTACATGCCAATTTTTAAATAACTCTCATGGCAGTGACTATAACACTAGTGGTTTATGTTTTAAACAAATTAAATTTTCTTGTACTGATCTTATTATTTTGATGATATATTTCTATTAATAACTTCTCTTATTGCTATGACAAAAGTATTTCCCAAAAGTAACTGAAGAAAATATGACTTATTTGGCTTGTAGTGTGAAGCCACAGTCCAGCACAGCAATCAAGTCATAGAGGCACAAATGGAAAGCAGCTGCTGATATTGTATCTAGTCAGGAAGCAGACAGCCCCGAATGCTGGTGCTTAGCTCCTTTATGGCTAGGAACCCATGACAAGGAATGGGGCTGCCATATTTCAAGTGTGTCTTCCTGCCCAAATTAACCAGAAATCCTTCACTGGCATGCCCGCAGTTTTTTCTCCTAAGTCTTTCAAAATCCTACCAATTTTTGAAATTATTAACCATTACAAAGAGATTCAATATATTTACCTTAAGAGACAAAGTCTAGCTGGGCATGGTGGCACATGTCTTTAAATCGAGTTCTTGGGAGGCAGAGGTAGGTGGAGCTCTGTGGAGTTCATGGCTGGCTTGGTCCATATAGTGAGTTCCAGGACAGCCAAAGATACATAGTGAGACCCTGTTTCAAAAATATGAGAGAGAGAGGGAATGAGGAGAGGAAAGGTGAGAGAGAGAGAAAGAGAGAGAGAGAGAGAGAGAGAGAGAGTCTATCCTATAAGGAAGTTATCCATGTGTGATTAGAGTAAAATTTAACTATTACCCCTCATGAAATTACCATCAGAGATGAAGTCTCCTTTGTAAGGAATTGTCTACAGGTGCTTAGGGTATGTATTTTGAAAAACTATTGGAAATAATTTTTAGAATATTAAAAATTAGCAGCCTGATTCACTTTCTTTTTGTCTTTGATCAAAAAAAAAAAGCACTGACAAGTATCTCTCTTAACTCTCAGCTTTTATTAATTTTGCAGGAGTCTACCAAATCCAAGAAGTAAATGTGCCTTCCACAAAAAAATGTATTTAAAAAATTTCAAAATGACTGCACCATAAGAATGAGATCCTAAATCATTGTTAGTTGATATAGTTTGTAGTTCACTGAATTCATATTAGCTAGTTGGTTAATGAAAACATAATTTAGAGATAAATTGTTGAATCAAATAATCCAGAGGGAGAAACACTAAATATCTAAATAAAGTCAAACTATAAACAAATCCAAAGAAAATATAAAAGGCTTATAAACTTGTGTATGTACAGAAAAATGTGGAGTTTTTGTGGTAAGAATATAATATTATAAAATCTTCAAAGGAGAAATTATAAACCTAAAATAATTTTAGCAAATATATGTATAATTTCCTTATAGCCTATTTTTTAATTAATAAAAAATCACAACCATACAAAAAGTATGCACCTATATGTGAGCTGAAAAAATAGAACCAGAGCAGTTTATAGACATGAAAACCTTGTTTATGACCATTCTTGTTAATCAAAGACACGTTAGAGTAAAAATTATAAATCATTTTTCTTCATCAGAGAGTAAATTATCCAAGTATTTAATAATTAATGATATTATTAACAATTTATTAATGGAACCAGACAATCTCATATACTCCTAATGAGAGTTTAGGTTGCTAAACCTTACGGCTATCAAAATGATAAATAAAAATGTATCACTACAGAAGAAGTGTATGCACCTTAAACTTGAAATTTCCTTCTAGGAATTTGTATTACAATCAAACTAGAAAACATAAAGTGAAATGTGTATATAAATATATTTATCACAAAATGTTCTATCATAGTTTTCAAAATGAGAGGCAATGTAATGCCCACAGGCAAAGGAATGACTACATAAAATATGAAACATCCCCTCATTAGAATACTAGATAATTACAAAGAGTGACATAAAGTTCTGTATGCTGACAAAAAAAAAATTCCCCTGGAGATATTATTCAAGTGATTTTAAAAAAGAGAACTATGTATGCTTGCATGCCAGAAGAGGGCACCAGATCCCATTATGGATGGCTATGAGCCACCATGTGGTTGCCGGGAATTGAACTCAGGGCCTCTGGAAGAGCAGTCAGTGCTCTTAACCTCTGAGCCATCTCTCCAGGACGGAGAACATGAGCAAAGAAGTCGGGACCACGAGGGGTGCACCCACCCACTGAGACAGTGGAGCTGATCTATTGGGAGCTCACCAAGGCCAGCTGGACTGTGACTGAAAAAGCATGGGATAAAACTGGACTCTCTGAACATGGCGAACAATGAGAGCTGATGAGAAGCCAAGGACAATGGCACGGGGTTTTGAACCTACGTAATGTGCTGGCTTTGTGGGAGCCTAGCCAGTTTGGATGTTCACCTTCCTAGGAATGGACGGAGAGGGGAGGACCTAGAACTTACCACAGGGCAGGGAACCCTGACTGCTCTTTGGACTGGAGAGGGAGGGGTAGAGGAGTGGGGGGAGGGGGAGAAGGGTGGGAGGAGGGGGAGAAGGGTGGGAGGAGGGGGAGGGAAATGGGAGGCTGGGAGGAGGTGGAACTTGTTTTTTTTTTCTCCTTTTCTCAATAAAAAAAATGGAAAAAAAAGAGAACTAAAAGCAAATCATATACTAGCATATAGTGTCTATACATTATGTTTCATTTGTAGCTTTGAAATTATAATGTAACTATATTTCTTTCTTCCATTTCCTCTCTCCATAGCCTCTCATATAAACCCTCCCCATTCTCCATCAATATTCCCTTTTAATCAATTGTTATTGCATGTATGTAAATGTACATCAATGTATATTCTTAAATATAACCTGTCCGGTCTGGTTAATATTACTTATATTCATGCTTTTAAGGATGACCATTTGGCATTGGACAACCAACTGGTGTGCTCTTCTCTGGGGAAGACCAGACATCTCTCTTGCTCCCAGCTTTTCTCAGTTACCTACTGTTCTTTGTGTAAGTCTTTATGCTTCTATTTTTAATAACTGCTTGACAAAAATAAAAAAAAAATACCTTATGTTTATTTAGCTTTCCTCCTGGAAATACACACACACACACATGTATGTATGTATATATATAGATATCAACTAGAATATTGTGAAGATGCAATGTAATAAGACATATAACTATCTATGAAGTACCCTTCTATTATTGACTGCATGTAAATGAAATCATTTTAATACTTAGTAATTTTGTAATCAATATGAATTTGTTCATTATTATAATTATGTGGGTTGCCTGAGTGGTGCTGTGCTTCTGTCTCCTGATCTGTATCCAGTAAGACTGTAGTAGTTGGATATCTTCCTTAGCACCCATCATGGTCTTCTGTTTGGGCTTCTAATGGAAGGCACATCAGGGCTGCTTTTGCAGTAAAAGTCCAAGGCACAAGATTCCGGCACACTTCTGCTTCTACGGCATTTGTAAGCCTCATGACTCAGTAGCAGAATTTCATGAATCCATTAAAAAAAAAGAAAATAGAAAGTGATATTTTTTGGATCTTATCTATAAGAGCCTCTCACAAGGTAAGTCTAATCATTCCATTTTTTTTATTGGAGGATGAATTAAGCAATTTAGAAAATGTGTCTTCCAAGAACCATACTATTGGCCAACAATAGCGTGGGAGGTTTACCTGTTCCTCTGACTCTCAAGTTCGTATTTTGACCCCAATATCTGCAGAACGCTGCTGATTTCCTTCTCTCAGGCAAGCCATTTTCCTCTGCGTATTTTCAATTTCAGTTTTAGATTTTCTTGTGCACTGTTTTAAGAAGCTGGCTCAAAAGCAGCCTACTTCTTTTGCACACTTGGTTGATCCAGTCAAAATTCTCTTGAATCTGATTTTTATATATCAAACTGGTTGCTGCTAATGTTCTAACACTTTATCTTAACACTCTCATCATACAATGCAATATTTAGGTGAGCAGCTGCCACATAACTTTGGCTTTTAAGATGGCTCACTCTCTGGGTGTAGGATGTCTGAGATAACACCTCTTCATACTTACCACTTTGGTTGCCGTGGCATTTCATAAACATAGAACATTGACTCAGCAGCTGAAGCTGCCTCTTTCTGACTTGCTTTCACTCCCGAAATATTTTAGAAAAGTGATTTCATTTGTTATTACTTCTAGGGTTGGTGTTGTTAAAATCACTACTTTCTATGGTTTGAGTAAGTATCCCACAAAGGCAAGTGAACAAAATCTTGAACAAAAATCATGGCATTATTGCGAAATGATAGATACATAAGAAATGAAACCTTGTGAATGAAGTCAGAACATTAGAGGGCATGTTCTAAAGGGCTCTTTTGGGATCCAAGTCCATTTATATCATTCACCTTTGTCATAAGGTGAACAGCTACTTCTGACCTGCCCTCCTACGATGATGAACTATGCACCACAGGCCAATGATAAGTTAGCTGTGGATTGTGACTTCTGTAACTATGAGCCAAGCAGCCTTTCTTTTAATAAGTTGGTATGCTCTTTATCATAATTCTGGAATTCAACACACTATTATACTTTTTGACTCCTTGAGAAGACTCTGACATGGGAATCTCTTGAGTTATTGCTAATGCTCATGATCTAGTGATTATACTTTGACCAATAACACCCTTTAAGAAACAGTTCTGAGGGATAGATTTATAAAATAACAAAGGAAGAATTCATAAAACAATACAATGTAAGAGGTAAAATGAGATCAGACAAGCTAGGATAAGCTGGTTCATTCCCAATGCTGATCATTGCAAAATTTAGTCCTGAATCCTTCTTTAATCTTCATGTCTGTTTTAATTTATCAAAAGAAAGAATATATATACTATGGAGTGCAGTTGGAAGAGTGTTTGCATAGCATGCATGAAGCCCTGGCTTCAAGTCCCAGCCAGTACCACATAAATGAGGCGTAAAAGCTACAGTGATAACTCAGCATTGCAAAAGTAAAAGAAAAAGAAACAAGTTTAAGATCATCCTCAGTTATATAGCTGGTCTACATGAGACAGAGAGAGAGGAAGAGAGAGAGAGGGGGGGGGGGGTGGTCACCAGGAATGCTTTTACAGTATATATTTGAATACTTTCAAAATAGGTTTACCATAACAAGAAAACAAGATCATTCCTAGACTTAATCCTCTTATGTACTTGTGTTTTCCTGGCTGTGACCAATATGATAATGTTAAAATATGGTATGTTCAGTTCTTTATTCGTCTGAAAACAATGTGTGGTTGAAGTTTGAATTCTCTTAATGTCTCACATGTCTCGCATTGACTTCTCCAGTTCTTCATGTTCTAGGACTGAATTATATTATAGTTGAGGTTTATATTCAATAAATCCATACTAAGACACATGTAAATCTGTGCATGCGTGTACACACACACACATACGCACACATACACCCCTCTAGTGAGGGAAGAATGTATCACTCTATCTTGTGACTTTGAGTTTTGTTACTTGCTTTGCCAAGTGGGACATGAGTAATTTAAGCATCATGAACAGAGGCTTCTTAAGCATGTTTGTATGATAGTGCTTGACTTTTTTACTTCAGTGATGTGTCATGAGTATGATATGTCAACATTACTGCTCTAAGAAATTGCTAGGTAACATAAGTAGGGACTCAAGAACAAACATATCAGAACATATAAATTTATTTTAGAACTTAGATTAAGGTTTATGGTAAAGAATCATTGAAATCTGAAGTGACTTATTCAACATATTTTATAACATGGCTAACTCATTCTTTGTCTCTGTCTGTTTCTGTCTCTCTCTTCCTCCCTCCCTCCCTCCCTCCTTCCCTCCTTCTCTCCTTCCCTCATGTTACTATATATTCCAGGCTATCTTCACAAGTAGTAGGCCTCCCTCCTTCTCTCAGCCTCTTGAGTAGTAGGATTTACAGGCAAGAGCAACCATATATAACTATATGTTTTCAGCTTTCTGATTTTCCTACTTCCTTTTCTCTTGTGGGATTTTACGTATCTTTTTGAGTCTGTTTGAGTCTATCTTATCATTCTCTTAAATATAAATTTCTTCTACATATCTTCACACTCAGAGAAACTTGTTTACAAGAAGATCCTTTGTCTCTGAGGTCTTGATTACCGGTGCTGTTTCTCTACTTTGGCATGGTGATGTTTGTCTGTAATTGTACTTTATCTTGTTTCATTATTTCAGAGATAAGCACTTGCTATATATTCATATCAGGCCTGAAACTTACCATGCAGATCAGACTGACTTCAAATGTACAACAATTTTCTGTCTTTCCCTTTTGGATGCTGGGGCTATAGTCATGTGCCATCATATTTAGCAACCTACATAGTTTATTAACAGTTATAATAGCATAATTCACTTTCTTTCTCCTCCACTCAACTAGAAAGAAAGAAACATGTTCAGTTGGTTAACTTTGGAGTTCTGGTACCTAGCACACTGCAATTTCAGAATTCTTGAAGGAATTTTGCTGAAACTGCTAGGTTTACTGCATTAGCATTTTATTGTGTTAGCTGTCTGGGTGGTTCATGATGCTTTTGTTGATAGTGAAGCAGGTGGATAACAGCTATTTAATCTTATTATGTGCTGATAATAAAAAAAGCAGAATGATTTGAGTTAAAAATAAATTAGCCAGTGATGATTGAATGATTCTCTATTGTGTGCCCTGCACTTTCATATGAAGTAAGCAATAGAATAGTCAACCACCCTGTAAAAAAGACAGAAGCTATCTGGGTTGGAGACACTCATATTTTGCAACTTTTGTGAGATATGTTTTGAGTTTTGAGACTTCTGGACACAAGTGTTCATGTAACTCCTGTCAAACGACTGTAAGATTAAGGCTACTTACTGGACAGTGTAGCCAGAGAACTGGCCCCAATCCTGATGGAAGACCTGGCCCCAACACTCAGGAGAGATGGCCCACCCCATACCATGAAAATGGGAGGACTTTCTCTGATGGCATGGTCATACTGCCCCTCACCTGAGGGGGGCAGTACCAGTAACCTGGACTGGCCACCTCCACTACCACCCAGGCCCACAGGTGGACCTTGTGTTGGTTCATCCTAAAATGTATCGTATCCAAAATCTGCTGGAGTTCTTGACGGGACTAGTCATGTGGTACAATACTGGGAGGATCTCCATGACTTGGGGTGGCTTTGAGATATCTGAGAGGAGTTTTGATGAGGATCCGGTGATAATGGTGTACCAGAAACCAGAGGCCTTCAACCAGACCAGTGACTCAGTGCAATGAACATTTGCAGGTAAAGCTGATCGAGCAAAAGGGTCTACAGTGTGACACACTGCAGCTCGCAGTACCACTAGGATGAATGAAGAGGTATTGGACAGTTGGAAAAAATGGAGGAGCCAAGAGCTTTTTGTTTGTTTTTGCTTTATTTGTTTGATTGTTTTGGTTTTATTTGATTTTTTTGAATTTTCTTGTGGGGGACACTGCAGGGATGAGGAAAGGAGATGGGGAATCAGAGGTTAGTGGAACTGGGGTATAGGATGTGACATTCCCAAAGAATCAATAAAGACCAGAAGAACATTTGAAGGAAAGTGAAAATGTAGACAAAATGAGCTTTGCCAACGACTGTAGAAAGGGAGTCCAAAAGGCAGAACTCAAAATGTGGAATAGAGAGAAGGTAACAGAACCCACAGACAGAAGCAAGGTCAGTGCTTGATGAGAATAAACAAAAGAAAATAAGGAGAAAATAATAGTGCTTTCTAGACAGAAAATCAAAAAGGACTAATACACAAAAATGTATCCGTTCATCGACTAACATGTAGGTTGTTTTCAATTTCTCATTACTGTGAGTAGAGCAGCTATGAGCATGCCTAAGCAAGTCTCTGTAGTAGGGTGAAGTATCATGTCCAAGAGTAGTACAGTTGGAATTTGAGGTCAGATCTGATCTTTCTGAGGAACTGCTACACTGATTTCCATCCAGGCCATACAAGTTTACCCTCATGCAGCAGTGGATGAGTGTGCTCCACTTATTCCAC